ATAGGCTAGAGCAGGATTTAGGGCTATAGTGCATAGGGTTACTATGAGTCATAGGTGATTTGACAGCACATAACAATTGTTGTTAAGTTGGAACTGATTCATGGTTATTCCGATAGCGTGTTTTTGCAGACAGTAAATTGCATAGAGGGGGACTCTCCATCATTTTTCTGATGAACTGCCAGTGGATTTAAACTGCCTGAGAGGCAATGCCTTTGGGTTACTCACACAACTTTCTATGGACTACACTATCAGAGCTCTCTGTAGATGTAAAGCAACCCTGAAAATTCCAGAAGGAAATATTTAATATAAATATACCTATAATAAAGTTTTCATTTTTAGATATTAATCTGTCTTTAGAATAAAGCTTATTAATCTTTTCTAATACATCTTTAAAAAACTGCTGTTTTTTATTATTTTTCAAAGCCTCTGATATCCTCTCATATTATCTTATTCTCTCTCCACTCATTTACAAGTGATTCTATTTATCAGAATCTATCTATTTATTCCTTATTTTTGAAGTTTTAACAGATGGAGAAATAGATTACTTCCAAACATCTGCACTAATATGCTTTACCTGTAACTCCTGCTGTGAGTAAAAAGGATTTTAATTATGTAGTTTTTGGAAATTTCTCTCTCAAGTACTGTAAATTCTTTTGCTTCAGGGTGAGAAAAAATTACCCTTAGGCACACTCATGCCACAAACAAATAGCATACACTATTAGTGTTATAAATACCCTTGATGATAAGCTTTAGTTTTGATATCATAGGTGTTTATTCATAGTCACAGTTTAAGCTTCCTAGATTTTCAGAGGTGTCAACCAAATAACTGCATAGAGTATTAAGGAAAAACTGATGATGTTTGCCATTTCTTATATATACTGAAAAAAGACCAATACTCAGAAAGACTTTCAGAGATATTGAAATGTAGCTATAAATCCTGTAAAATTATTTTCACTCATATAGTAAAGAGATTGTACTATAATCTGTGTGTGAGGTAGGGAATTCATTTAAAAAGTGGCATGTTTTAGAACAATGGTCTTATGCAGTATTTGTCCTTATAAAACTGTGTTTATTCACTTAGTATAATGCTCTCTAGTCTCTCCAAAGTTATGCAGTATTTTTCAAAATTTTTATTGTAAAAATAGAAGGATAACTAGTAAAATGTGTATGGTTACCCAAGAGGGAAAGAGGTGGGAACCAAGGGGTGAGGATGGGTACGGGCGAAATCACAAGGTTGCACAATTTGTTGGGTGGACGGTGGGGGTGAAGGAAATGGAAAGTGAAAAGGCAGGTTATTGATGGGCAAGGTCCAATGATGATTAATTTTATAAAAATATAATCCATGGGAATGACTGTATAAAACACAGTATGAATGAAGAAACATACTGTACACAAACTTTGTAAGCAAACCAAAGTAAAATTTAAGAGAAAGAAAAGAGTGGTATGTTGTGGGATATTAGGTTAACAGATTGTCCTGAGGATTACTCTATTACCTGCTATGGCTGCACATTCATAACAGAAGAGCCTCATTCTTTACAATAGCTCCTCTTTTTCTGTTCACCTCTGGAATGTTGCTATCTGCAGGATTTCCCTGTTAGCGCCATTTCCCCTGGGAATCTCTGATATAGCTAAGACTTCAACTACTGTATCATAAACCTGTGTCTATAACTGAGGAGGACCTAAAGTGTTTGTTGCAGAGGGCCAAGGACTATAGTCTTTAACACCTCAAGACTAAAGCTAAACATCAAGAAGGCAAAGATTCTCATCCTAGGCCAATTGGTAACACCATGATAGATGGAGAAGAGATTGAGTTTGTTAACAGTTAATGTATGCTTGGCTCCACAATCAACACACTTGGCATCAGCAGTCAGGAAATCAAAAGATGAACTGCTATACTTGGACCAGGAGGAAGTCATCAGAACAAAGCAAGGAAACACTGCATGGCTCAAAATTGGGAAGGTGTGTGTCAAAGATGTGTCCTATCTCCATGTCTTTTCAATCTATATGCACAACAGATTATCCAGGAGGCTGGGCTCTTTAATGGCTTCTGAAAACCTCCTGGAGGGTAAGCTCTCGATCAGTTCTGACTTAATGGTACACAACAACAAGATCAATAATACATAAATCTTCTGCCTCAAAAAAGTTCAATGGTTCCTAAGAAATGAGTAATCATCATGTTACAGTTTGTTCCTGGGTTTTGAATGTTAAACTAGTATATTTATTAACCAAAAAACTCAAACTCATTGTCACAATAGAATCATAGCTGACCCTCCAACAGTTTTCAGAATCAATAAATCACAAGAGCAAAGTTTGCCCATTTTTCAATCTCAGAGCTTCTGGTGGATTTGAGTGGCCAGAGATGCTTGGCCTTGAGGACATCGGTGAAACTCCCAATAACCAAGGCTCCCAGAGTTCCTCCTTTTTAACTGCACACATTTTACTCTCAATAGGGTCCTCATGAGGACAACAAATTTTATGATAAACTTAAAATGTGAAATTCAGTAAAACATCCCTACAGATCACATTCAATACCACTTCAAATCTGTTCAAAATCCACCTTTCTTTCTTTCTGCACATCAGTTTCTATCACATGTCTCTTCATCACATTATGATTACTTGTTTACTCTAGTGGAATGTTTCTGAACTTTGGGTTAATCAGAAGCACAGCACTATAAGTGGACTGAATGGGACAGACATCTTCCACTGCTGGGCTATTTCACATGTCCCTGCCTCTAGCCAGATGCTCTGTGACATTCCATGTGTCTACTAGACACATCTATGAGGCCTAGACCCGGAAAACTTCCCAGCAGCTAGGCAGAATAAATAGTTTGCTCTTTTGTACTTTGTCAATGTCTGTAAAGTAGTGTTTATCAAAAGTATATTATTAAACCGTCAATTTAGTCTACTAAAAGAGTAGATATTTAATAGCAAGAACAACACCTCATTTTATGAGCTTCATCATCCACCACATGCCTGTATTATAGTTGTAAAGTGATACATGAATACCGGGAAAACTAATTTATATAAAATAAAATAAAATAGAAATAAAAATGCAAAGTAAAAGAACAAGATAAGACAAAACATTTTAAAACTTAATAAGCTTAAAAACATTACGATTTTCACATTTCACTATAGTCATTCTCCAATTTCAATGCAATATCTAAAATAGCCCGATTATATTGTTTTTGTTATGTGCCGTCGAGTCACTTGTGACTCATAGCGACCCTTTATACAACAACCCTAAACTCCGCTCTGTCCTGTGCCAATCACACCATCTCTGATACACCCTTCCCAATTGCCCCAGTCACTGAATCAATCCACCTCGTAGAGGGCCTTCCTCTCCTGCACTGTCCCTCCACCCTAACAAGGATGATGTCCCTCTCCAAGGACCGGTCCCTCCTTACAACATGTCCAAAGTATGTGAGACAGAGCCTCAGAATCCTTGCCTCCAAGGAGCCGCCCGGTTTGACCCTTTCCAGGATGAATCTGTTTGTTTTCCTAGCAGTCCATGGTACCCTCAATACTCTTCTCCAGCACCACAGCTCAAAGGCATCAATTCTCCTTCTATCCTCTTCAGTCATTGTCCAGCTCTCTGATACATAACATGTGATTGCAAAGAATATGGCCTGTATCAGATGCACCTTAGTCTCCAGAGAGACAGCACTGCTCTTCAGTACTTTGGAGAGGTTCCTAACAGCAGACTTTCCCTTGGCAATACACCTTTTAATTTCCTGGCTACTGGTGCCAAGAGTGTTGACTGTGGAGCCAAGCAAACTAAAGTTGTGAACAATCTCAATCTCCTCACCACACATCCTGATGCTGCCAATTGGTCCAGTGGTGAGAATCTTTGTCTTCTTCACATTGAGCCTCAATCCATATTGGAGGCTGCAGTCCTTGACCCTCTGCAGCAAGCGCTTCAGGTCTTCCTCACTTTCTGCAAGCAGGATTGTGTCATCTGCATATCGCAGATTGTTGATAGATCTTCCACCAATCTTGACCCCACATTCCTCCTCATAGATCCCAGCCTCCCGGATAATCTGCTCTGCATATAGGTTGAAAAGGTATGGAGACAGGACACATCCCTGACATACGCCTTTCCCAATTTTGAACCCTGTAGTGTTTCCTTGCTCTGTTCTGACGACTGCCTCTTGGTACAAGTATAGGTTTCTCATTAGCATGATCAAGTGTTCTGGGATTCCCATCCTTCTCAGAGTCAGCCACAGTTTGTTATGATCCACACAGTCAAACGCCTTTGCATAGTCAATGAAACACAAATAGACATTCCTCTGGAATCCTGTGCTCTCAGCCAAGATCCATCTAACATCAGCTACAATATCCCTAGTACCGCAACCCCTTCTAATCCCAGCCTGGACTTCTCTGGCAGTTCTCTGCTGATGTGTTGTCCCAGTCGTTTTTGGATAATCTTCAGTAGAATCTTGCTTGCATGTGAAATTAATGAGATTATTCTATAGTTTCCACACTCTGTTGGGTCACCCTTTTTTGGAATGGGAACAAATATAGATCTCTTCCAGTCAGTTGGCCAAGTAGTTGTTCTCCAGATTTCTTTGCACAACTTGGTGAGCACATCCAGGGCAGCATCTGTTAGATGAAATATGTCAATTGGTATACCATCTATTCCTGGGGCCTTATTTTTTGCTTTGACTGTTGTTGTTGTTGTTAAGTGCCGTTGAGTCACAGGCAACTCATAGAGACCCTATGAAGGAGAGTCCTGATGCTTGGGTGCCTTTCATCCTCTTTCCAGGTTCACAGGGTTTCCGGAGGCAAGCTATTACGGAAGTAGATGCCACTCCTCCTTCCAACACATATGACTAGACATGTATAAAATTATATACAGAACAAAGAAAAGAAATCTAATTCTCAAGGAGACTGAACAATTCGGTATTTTAGAAATAAATTTTCAAACAATTTTGAAGCAGACCTAAAAGAGAGGTAATATTACCAAAAGGTGATTTTAGATGCTTACCATTATTAAGAGCTACTGGACTCATTCCACTCAGAAGTACTTTCTGACGTAACTGCAAAATTTCAGTTTCCAAATCTTGGACTTTGGATCTGCATTTACACTCTTCTCCAGACACCACCCTTGCAAGTTGTTCTGTGTATTCTCTGCTGCTTTTGTCTGCTGGTTTTGAGCGGATAATTGCCAGGGCCACGGCCAACTTTGAAGTTCTCAAATACCATCCTTGAGCATCCATCCTGGCTTTTGTCCCTATTATTTAATAAGAAAATGAAAGTTATAGCAATTCTTTTTAACTTTTACAGTACATCTCATTTGCTCAAAATTGATTTTTCAGAGTAGCACTAATTAATAAGTTTTTCAATTAAATTGGCAGCAAATGACAGAAAAAAAATTCTTAAGAACTGAAGACTAAGAAAAAATATGCAGTATGGCGCTTTCTCAAAAAGTTGCAAATAGAGATACCATTTGACGCAGCAATTCCACTACTGGGAATATACCCCAAAGAGACCATAACTGACATCCAAGCAGATATATACACACCCATGTTTATCGTGGCTTTGTTCACAATAGCAAGGAGTTGGAAACAACCTAAGTGACTGTCAACAAACGAATGGATAGAGAAGCTGTGGTGTACTCACACAATGGAATATTATGCTGCATTGAAAAACAAGAAACTCATGAAATATTATTGAAAATGGGTGACCCTGGAGGACATTATGCTGACTGAAATATCTCAGTCACAAAAGGACAAATACTGCATGGTGCCACTGACTTCAGGTTTGGGAGGAGACTGAGAAGGATGGGTTCAATAATGTATATTGCACTGAAACATATGAGGGAGAAAACTGTCTAAGAGGGAAAATTATCAAGTATCTTTGTCATGACAGGAGTCTAGAGCATAGGCTGTATAGCAGAGTGGACCTGAAAGGAGGGATTGTAAAATAATGAAAGAATTTTTCTTTTACTTTTCCAAGAAGGTAGTGTACTTGGGGGGAAGGTTGGGAGGGGAGAAAAGTGCAACAATGAATGAACGGAAACCCAAAGTCTCTGCAAATTTTCATTGAAATTAATAATAAAAAAAGGAAAAAATATGGGAAAAATGCATACAGATGTACATTAATATGCAAGTAATAGGTTCAGACAATCTGACAAAGTCTTGGGGTGAGAAAAACATTAATTCATTTAGTAGTTTGCAACCAGAGATACATAACCTATTATTTTAGAAAACTTTTTAAATATTCATGTGCCCAGTCACATTCTCTCAAAATCCACATTCAGCAACAGAGATAGTACTGAGGCTTGTCTATTTTGAAAACAGTCCATTAATTTAATTCAGAATAACTAAATTAAGTTATTCATTTAAATTTAAGCCCTTCTCTTCTCTAACACATTCTGGGCTCTAAGTCTTAGAGCCCCTGTTTCCTAAGCATTGATCCTTAATGTGCTTTTCCTGCCTTCAATGAGGCCTCTTCCTATAACGACACTATGAATATAGATGAGGCCGATCTTTTCAGTTTGTATTATTTAAATACTTACACTGCTCTGCTTGAAAATCTCTAAAGGTTTTCAACTGACACCATACCCATGTTTTTTCCACTTTCTGATAATGTTACTGTTAGGTGCCACAGAGTCAGCTGAGACTCAGCAGCCCTATCAACTACAGAGCTAACCTTGCCTATCCTGTGTCATGCTCAGGTTCTCTGATATACTCATCTATTGCGATAGTCATTATGTCCATCTTTTTTTTTTAGGGTTTCCTCTCTTTCAAGACCCTCTAGCTTCCCCAGCATGATCTCTCTCTCTCTCTCTCTCTCCAAGGACTAGCTCTTCCCAAATGATGAGCACTCTGGTTGTACTTCCTTCAAGGTTATTTTGACAGCCCAAGGGATATTCAATATTATTCCTCAACATTACAATTCAAAGAAAATTAATGTTCTTTACTCTTTCTTATTTACAAAGAATACCCTATGGACAATGGTAGAATCTGAATGTATTTCGGGGGACAACATATTAGAATATTTTATCATTGATTTACCATCATTATATATCTCTGTCAAAGTATAAATCCTTTGTACACCTCAATCATGTTTTATTAGATTTTCATAGGGTCTTGTACACAATGCAAACTAAAAAAAAAATACTGAATATATAGTTCAAGATACAATGTTGCAGTAAATGTCATTTACTTGTATCTATTGTGCTATACAAGTTCAAAGTCTTCATCCCACATTTCAAATTTTATCTTTCAATTCTATCCTGATGCTGTGGTTCTATCACACCCAAAGACACAGATTCACACAGCCTGAATTAATTGCTATTCCCACGGTTTATAAACTCCCTCCTCTTGTAATTTCCTAACTCCATCTCCCTTCTGTCAAAGCATTCTCTGTGCACAATTTAAAGAATAGCACATCTACCCCTACATAAAATCTTCTGATTTAGTCTTACCTAGAATAATATTTCTATGTGACTCTCTATAATTCATTGAAACTGTGGTAATGTTGGATATCATAATGCTTTTTTCTAAACAATAGTTAAACTATATGTACTCAATATGCTCATTGCTGCATTACTTGAAATACTGAAACTAGATCAAAAAGTAAATAATGATATAGCCATATAATGACTACGGGTATTGTTGCTACATACAGTGAAGTTGGAACCTACTGATAGCTGACCATCATGCAGATTTTCAGATGTGTAAATCTCACAAAAGGAAACGGCCTATATTTTTCCCAAGAAGCAGCTGGTAGATGTAAACTGTGTATGTTCAAGTTTGCAGTGCAATTACTTATCACTAGGTCACCAGAGTTCCCTAAATGAATATTACATGCCCACTAATAAATGTGATTTTCAGAAATGTTTCAACAGCACAGAATAGTTTTGATGATGCTGTGAAAAATAACATGCAGGCCTGCAATTATATGTACACTATGATCCCAATTAGGTAAAAAAACCAAACAAGAAATAGGATTTATTACAAACAAAAATTATAATTTGTCTAATTTATATTTCTCTATGTTCTCCTGATTTTCTGCCATTCATTTCATACATTCATTTACTGTCCAAAAAAGAATTAAACCAAGTAAGTTTCCAAAAGGAAAAATTGTCTGCCACAATGTTTACAGCTATAGAACAAGCCTAGGACTAAATTCTGTTAAGACGAAAAAAAAAAAATTCTAATTAAAGCTCCACTTGTTTTAGCTTTTACAGCTAAAATCCATTTCACTCAGATAGCTTGTTCTCCATCTGTTGTCTGTGATGGGGACGGTGGGCTGTCTGATATTCACCTGGATGGTCTTCTCTATGTAGGAGTAATGAACAAAAGAAAAGTGGAAGGATAGATGACAAAACAACATTTAGTTTATGTTAAGATACTATGGTCTTAAAAGAAATTGGCCATTCAATTAAAACAAAACAAAATATAAACATACGTAAAAAAGCCTTTCTGATAATGATAACAAATGTCCTATCATTTTGCATAGACATTTAACAAAGCATTTTAAATAAGCTGATTAGTAAATGTTCTGATTGTAAGTCACATGTGTTTGCTAAAAAGTCTTAGAGACATGCTAAATATCAGTAATCAGGATAAAGGTCAAAACATAAAGTCTTTCTTAATACTACAAATGGGCAAGAGAAGTACTAACACAGATGTTTGTTACTGGTTTGAATAGTATAAATCACATTCAAAATATAAACACTAGAACAGAAGTGTTAGTTCTTTTAGCCCTGGAGGATTTAAACATGTTTTCATTACAAATACACTGTAATGTTTATTACATTTTATTATATACTATCATTTTTATTTTATGGTAGTATGAACATTTCCACAACTGAGTGTGGAAACAATATCATTGATTTCACATGCAACCAAGATTCTACTGAAGATTATCCAAAAATGACTGGAACAGTACATCAGCAGAGAACTGCCAGAAGTCCAGGCTGGGTTTAGAAGGGGTCGTAGTACTAGGGATATTGTAGCTGATGTTAGATGGATCTTAGCTGAAAGCAGAGAATACCACAAGAACGTCTATCTGTGTTTCATTGATTATGCAGAGGCATTTGACTGCACGGATCATAACAAACTGTGGCTGACTCTGAGAAGAATGGGAATCCCAGAACATTTAATCATACTAATGCGAAACCTATACTTGGACCAAGAGGCAGTCGTCAGAACAGAGCAGAGTCAAAATTGGGAAGGGTGTACGGCAGGGATGTGTCCTATCTCCATACCTTTTCAACCTGTATGCAGAGCAGATTATCCGAGAGGCTGGGCTCTATGAGGAGAAGGACTGGTGTTAGAATTGTTGGATGATCGATCTATCAACAATCTGCGTGGCGCAGATGACACAACCCTGCTTGCTGAAACTGAGGAGGACCTCATGCACTTACTGCAGAGGGTCAAGGACTGCAGCCTTCAATATGGACTGAGGCTCAATGTCCAGAGACAAAAATTCTCACCACTGGACCAATCGGTAGCATCAGGATGGATGGTGAAGAGATTGAGATTGTTCACAGCTTCAGTTTGCTTGGCTCCATTTCAACACTCTTGGCAGCAGTAGCCAGGAAATCAGAAAACGTATTGCGGTGGGAAAGTCTGCAGTTGGGGACCTCTCTAAAGTACTCAAGAGCAACGGTGTCTCTCTGGAGACTAAGGTGCTCCTGATACAGGCCCTAGTTTTTGCAATCACTTGTTATGCATCAGAGAGTTGGGCAATGGCCAGGGAGGATAGAAGGAGAATTGACGCCTTTGAGCTGTGGTGCTGGAGAAGAGTATTGAATGTACCATGGACTGCCAAGAAAACAAACAGATTCATCCTAGAGAGGGTTAAACCAGGCTGCTCCTTGGAGGCAAGGATTCTGGGGCTTCGTCTGACATACTTTGGGCTTTTTGTAAGGAGAGACAGGTCCTTGGAGAGGGACATCATGCTGGGTAGAGTAGAGGGACAGCACAGGAGGGGAAGACCCTCTATGAGGCAGACTGATTCAGTGACTGGGGTAATTGGGATGGGTGTGTCAGAGGCAATGAGACTGACACAGGATAGAGCACGGTTTGGGGCTGTTGTACATAGGGTCGCTTTGAGTCGCAAATGACTCGACGGCACATAACAACAACAACAACAATGAACATTTCTCAGGCACTATTTATACACGTTGTTGTTGGGTGCCACAGCGTCACTAGGATTTTGAGAGATCCTGGGAACAGAACACAATCCTGTCCTGTCTCATAAC